TTTGCATTACCCACAGAAGCCAGCTTTAATTGACTTCTAGTTATTTATACTTAATTTTTCCTTTCGGGATAATGATTATAAGTAATTTCAGATTCTTTCATTCAGAGAGAAATTAGATGTCTATTCATCAAAAGTATTTTTTTTTTCTGGAAACAGATACTCTGTGACCAATATAGAGACTAAGGCAATATATTTATCATACAATTCTCCGTCATGATGCTTCCTGTTTGCTTCCACAGATTAACATAGCAGGATGTAGAGATACAGAAATGAAAATACATTTGTACCCCTCCCCCCAAAAAAGAATGAGTTCAGAAAACATACTTTTGGGGTCATATTTATTGCTTGCTTTCTTACCATTCAACTGTTTCTTCTGTTTAATAAATTCTGTTGAATAAATTCCACACTCACTTGCATAGCATCCATTATTCTCCAAAAAAGTCCCTCATCCACTTTTCTCCACACCTGCCAAATCTTGCCTTCCACTTCTAGCATCTTCAATTAAGCAGTCATATTTCAGGTCTGTGTTTGGCTAACATTTATGTTCTTTTTTGTGGCTTACATTTATGTTCTTTTTTGTTTGTTTCTTTATATTCCACAATAAAGAAATCATCCAATATTTGTATTTCTACTTCTGAAATATTTCACTTAGCATATTCCCTTCCAGTTCCATCCATGCTATCTCAAATGGTAAGACTATATCCTGTAGAGCTGAGTAGTGTTCCATTGTACATATACTACATGATCTTTGTCTATTTATCTTAACTTGGAAATTTGCATTGTTTCCATGTCCTGGGTATTGTAAATAGTGCTGTAATGATGATAGGAGGGCATATTTCCCTACAAATTAGTGTTTATGCATGTTAACTCTATTTTTAATATTTGAGAAACCTCCATACAATTTTCTATGGGGATTGTACTAGACTGTATTCCCACCAATTTTGTAAGCTGCCTCCTTATTCTCCTTACTGTCACTAGCAATTGTTTCTGGTCTTTTGATGTGGTGATTCTTACAGGGGTGAGGTGGTATCACACTGTGGTTTTGTTTTGTATTTCCATGATAATTGATGATAATGAGAATTTATTCAAGTGATTGCAGTTGGCCATCTGTGTGCCTTCTTTGGAGAATTATCTATTTAGCTTTTCTTCCCATTTTTTGGATTAGTTTATATGTTTCCTTGTAGTTGACTCATGAGTTTCTTGTAGATTGGAAAGTTTAAGATGCATGATGTGTAAATACCTTCTCCCATTCAGGAGGTTTTCTTTTCATTTTAGTGATATTTTCTTTCACTTTGCAAATCCTTTTCAATTTGATGAAGTCCCGTTCAGTTATTTTTGCTTTTGTTTCCATTGCTATTGAAGTCAGGTCTACAAAGATATCTCTGACATCAATTTGGAGTATGTTGCCTATGTTTTTGTTTTTTCTCGGTATTTTATGGTGTCGGATCTTAACAAGTTTTTGATCAATTTTGAATTTTTATTTGTTGTGAGATAATAATCAAGTTTTATTTTTTTTCATGTCTGTCAGGTTTTCCCAGCACCACTTGTAGAAATTTTTTCTTCCCTATTGTATAATCGTGGCTATTTTGACATAAATTTGACATAAATTGTCCTTGTACATTTGCACTCTAAATTCTACTCCATTGATGTATGTGCATGTCTGTTTTCATTTCAATACCATATTATTTTGATGGAAATTGGCTGGCAATGTAGTTTGAATTCTGTGAATGTGATACTACCATTCTTCTATTTTCCTTGGAATATTTTTGCACTTGGAATATTTAATATTTTTATACAAATTTCAGTAATGTTTGTTCAATTTTATTGATGGATGCAATTGAAACCTTCATAGTGACTTCTACTTTTTAACAATGTTATTTCTCCCAAACTATGAGCAAAGATTATTTTTGCCATCTTTGTCTTCTATTTTTCTTAATAATGTCATTTATTTTGTAGTACCAATTTTTTTCTACAACTTTTGTTAAGTTTACTCACAGGTATTTAATTCTTGATGAGATTCAAACGGGATTTTTTTCCCCTTATTTTTCTTCTAGTTTGTTTTCATTTAGGAACATAATTGACTTGTAGTCTATAAACATCACTTAGGTTAGTTTTTGATTTAGGTTGTTTCTAGGGGACTATTTAGGGTTTTCTATGTGTATTTTATGTCATCTCCAAATAATGGTAATTATACTTATTTTTTTCTAATGTGGATTGCCTATATGATCTAGTTAGGGCTTTCAATAATATGCTAAATAGTTGTGGTGAAAATTGACATATGTGTCTTATACCTGAACTTTTAGAGGAAAACCTTTCAGTTTTTACCATTTAATATGATGTTTGCTGTGGGTTTGTCATATATATCATTTTAATTATGTTAAGGTATCTTCCTTCTATTCTTATGTGTTTTTTTTTTTTTTTTGTCTTTACTGTTGCTGATGTGACTAACTACATTAACTGATTTTCAGATGTTGAACTATTCTTGTGTCCCTGGAGTTCATTCTACATAGTCATGACTATGATCCTTTGGATCTGTTGTTGAATTCAGTTTACTAGGATTTTGAAAATACTGGTAATACTGATGTGTAATTCTCTCTTTTTAGACATTCTTGTCTGCTTTTAGCAACACAATAATGCTGCACTCATAAAATGTGCTTAGAAGCATTTGCTTTCTGATTCTGAGGGAATTTTTCAGTGGGGCATAGATCAATTCCAAAGCTATTAATTAATATGCTTCATATTCTAGGCAGCTTAACCATTGCTAAATCAACACACATGCCTCCCTGGAATTTGTCTTTTCCACACTTCTAATGCATCAGGGCTTAAAAAGGGACCGGAGGGCCCTCCCTGGTCGCACAGTGGGCTAAGTGCAGAACTACGAAGCTAGCCACAGCTGCTTTAGCAAAGTTCCACCTCCACCAGGGAGGTGACCCACATGGTGCATCAGTGTACTTTGTCTATCTGCCTGTTCTGCTCCCCACTGTCTATGGTGAATCCTCTCACTGCCTCTGCAACTCTGGACCGCACCCTCGTTGTTTTATGTATAAATAAATAAATCTAAAAAGGGGGGCCTGAGTTTATGTTCTCAGTCCTATTATCACTTAGTTTAAAAATAGATCTTTGAAAGAAATACTGCAGTGTAACTGCATGAAGGTAAAAAGGGAAAATCTTACATGACCAGTGTTTATTGAGGGTGATTTTTTTTTTAACCTATTAGTGTTAAACTTCAGAATTGTCACCAAAAATAGGTATTTTATATTTGAAATGACAAACACCCTTACCAATGAGAGTTAGCCATCTTCATAATTGAATTTCTTATTATATCTCATAATTTAGCTGCTCATATATTTCAAGAGACTTATCTGTAAACTCCATAAATGGTGAACTTGAGGTCCGAGGCCCTGAGCTTGCAAAGGTTATTCCAGCTCCTCTAGTCATGGTTCCAGGAGGAATATAAGCTGTATACTATTCAAAGAGAGTGAGTGGACAGGGAATGGCAAAACACTGACCCTCCCAATCCTAGAAGATTTATACCTGAGAAAAATTTATATGCAGTGAAACTTCTGCCCCAGAAAGGAGTGATTATCCTTTTCTTAAGTATAAGGTTCTTATTGCTTGGAGGGGAGATATGGTAGTGAAGAGATGGTTGTGGAAACTTGGTAGTGTTTGCATTGAGGTGGAAATAATCCTAGCTCAGGAAAGAGGTGCATGGCTGGCTTCATTCTGGGTATTTTCCAAGCTCAGTCTCCTCTACAGATAGGCCAAAGAAGTGTGATTGAAATAACCAGGGGATTCTTACAATTGCTTCCATTTCCCAAGAAGTTCAGCTACCAACAAGACCTAGAATTCAATCACGCCCATCAACATTAAGTCGGTGTGTATAACCTACCAGATGATGTTAGACAAAAGACATATGGGATGCATGGGCCATGCAAAAAATGTGCAGGTGATCATTATATTTAGTGACTATATTAAAGTTTATGTAGTGCATTCAACAATTCATTAAGTAATGCAACCCTGCCAGTCAGATGACTGAATGAGTTACCCTGTTCACTGTGTTATTGCTGAGGGAGTGTATATTACCAGATCATGCTTGGTTAGCCAGTAAATACCATTGGGAACTTTTGTTCTCTAAAGCAGAGGTAAAGCTTATGGTTTTGTGAGCATTCTTAAAATGTCCATTAACGAGGATTGTAAGAGGATGAAACATCACAGAAGAAACATCTGCGTCTCTGAAAGTAAGTAACAGGGTTCCAAACTAGAGGACCTAGGGTTTCTACTTGACCAGCTAGTGCACTGTAGTGATAGAGCTCATTTTAAAAAAAAGATCTGATAAGAAGTGAAAGTGATACTGTACAGGGAAAACTTAGAGATTGTTGGTGAGCCAGAATTCAGGTGGGTTTCTGGATTTCAGTGGAAATGAACCAAGAAGAAGGTAATGGCAGATTATATAAACTCTAGGAAAGAGGTATGTTTTGGGTTTTGGCTCTCTGTTGGGTGTGGTTTTTTTGTTTGTTTGTTTTTGTTCTTTTACATCTGAACTTTTTAAAAGTTTTTTTATTAGTCTACAATGAATTTTTGGATGCATTAGGCAACTTGGAATTCTTTGGGCCACATTTTGCCCCTCCCATCATTTTGTTCTTCACTGAAGATGGCTCTAGAAGAGACTTTTTAGAAATAATATTCAGAAAAGATTTTTCCAGTTCTTGATTCACCACATTTTCCTGCTTTCCTTTGCAACACTTCATATGTGAAGCTGGTTCATTAATTACACAGCCAGGGAATAACCGTCTGATGTGATTCAATAGCAAAATCGAGAAAGAGAATATTTTGGTTAAATAGGTGAACTAAAGTAAGATTCATGTTGATTTTTCTTTGGAAATATCCAAACCAGAGGAAACTTTACAAAACCTTCCTAGTTCTGATATATTGACTTGTTCTATGACTCTACTTCGTGATCACAGTTTGCTATTTGAAAATAAAAACACTGTGACAATTCACAAAGTCAAATGCTTTATTTATACTGAAATTTAGCAAGTACATTTTTAACAAAGAAGATGTGCTTTAACTTAATATGTTGTGAAACAGAAAAACCATACATATAAGCTTCTAGTCTCTAAAACACTACTGCATTTTTTCTCCCCTTAAAAGACAAAAAGTCAAGCTGAAGTGAGCATAGAAAATCATCAGATATGGTCAAGTTACTTTAGCCATTAAGATTTAGCTCATATTCTTAAACTTGTCAGTCTAATGTGAGGATAAAGTTTACATCATTTAAAATTTACACACATTTCATTTTTTAAAAAATGTAATGTAGATTGAATAGCTGCTTCAGAAAACAAAGCTTTGCTGATAAACACAATTGAAATTACTCCATGTTGAATAGTTTCAGAGATAAACTGGAATCACAAGCATCTTCATTTATGTAAAGCCAGCGAGGACCTTTCAGGCTGAATAAAACTGTTGGGCCATTGCTAAACAGTAATAGTTACCTCCTTTAAAAAAAAGAAAACAAGTTAGTTCTTCTGAGGAATAATTCTGCTATGTGCTTAAAAATACTAAATTTCTATCATCAGGAATGTAAATGATCTGATGAAACAAACTTGATTTAGTATTGGTAGAAACTAAAATTTCTTAAGATTTGAATATGTTGATGTGTCAGTTTATGAAAATCTTTCAAGTTTGGTGCTATGGCTTCTGTTCTCTCCACAGCACTGAATACACTGAAGATGGGTAAGACTTTTCATGAACTATGATGTCTGTAGTTATCTATATTACTTTGCCGTTTGTATATAATAATACATTAAAGATACCTATGGTTTACCAAAGCAGGGAGAAAGGAATGACTCGTTCTGAGCTACAATAATGTCATCTTTGTACATTTAGGATTTCCTCTCCCCTGGTTAGCCCTGAGACTTCAGATATTGCATGAAAGATTTGTTTTGAATAGCATTTTAACCAGGCTGTTTGGTCAAACAAGTATGTATTTAAATGTTTGCAATCAAAATGATTCATACTGTCTTAGATTTAGAAAATATTTGACAGTATGGGTAAAAATTAGTCACAACCAATTTTCTAAAAACAATTCTGTTTTTGTCTAACCTTGCTTTTTTCCACAATCATGGATTATGTTCCAAGTCTCTGTCCACTTACTTTACAATAAAGGTCACAAAAGAACCAGCATAGAAAGTGTGGGTAGATCAATCTAAATCCATAATCCCTGCTTGAGAAACAATTAAATTCCATGTCCGTGGGTCAAATGGATCATTTTCAGACACAAAGGAGAGCAGATTATCATTAGACTGATACATATGGCCCAAAATATTATTTCAGTCTAGTCAAAGCTGTGTCAGCAGGAAAATATATGCCCTTTAAAACTTGTATATAAAAATTTAAAATATTATTTCTGTGTAGAAAGTTGGAAAAATTTTCTGGACAATACTTCAGGAACAAAAGTAAAGACATGGTAACAAAAGGATAAACTACTTTATGCCTATGTTATTCAGACCAGCTAGAAAATCAGACTTTGAGAGACAGGAATGAGACATTTTGCCAAATAGCCCAAGGAATTCACTGGATTTTTTCCAGGGAACAGAATAAAACCAAACATGAATTTGTGGAAACTGCCTAGTAGTTTGTCACCTCCAGTGAATTGCTCAGACTTTTTTGTGGCATCTGAGAAATTTAGTCTGAGAAATTTACCAGATAATTGTTCTACTTTTCCAATCTACCTCACCCACTCTATACACTGCCTAACTGTCAAAGGAAAGTTCTTCAACATCAAATGGAAGAGTCATTTTACCAGGATTGAAATTTATACAATAAAGCTAAATTTTAAATCATGCAACACAAACTTCAAACATTACAAACTTGAAAGCAACAGCAAACAAAATAAAATCCTGTGAGAAACAGTACAGAAACATAACAGGCAGCAAAAAGTCATTGCCATTTATTCTATAGAAAAATGAAGCTACTGAAGAAAAAAATCTCCTTCCTTTATCAGAATTAATTATTGTCTATTAAAGAACAAAAACAATCTACCACACCCTCATTTAATGTGCCACTTTGCAAGTCCTATCAGAAGCAGTTTCCACAGCAGCTTGAAAATCCAAAGAAAATTAGACAAGACTGTATTAATATGAATCAATTTTTCTATCTAGAATACAATAAATTGAGATTTGATAGGAGTAAACAATTTCTCCTAATTGAGAGGATAGCTGCAAAATAGACTCCTGTGTAGCATTCTGTATTATGTTGACACAAATTGTTACTGTTTTACATAAGCCAATACTGAGGAAGGAGCCAGTATTGACCTGTTAACTGACACAGATCCTTGGAGCAATCTCAAAGTTTGCCACGTTTCAATTTCAAAATGCATTTCAGCCATAATATGAGTGATTTATCATTTAGCAGTAGCTGTCAAAGTAAACTCCTAGATAAAGCAAAAACATCTGGAAGCATAAACAGAGGAGAGCAGTAGCTGAATTTTAATCCAAACCCAGCGTGCTCACTTCATTAGGAACAGGAAACAGCTAATTAGTAATTGAATGTTTCATGTTTTCAAAATGGTTTGTACTTGAGCTCCAAACAGATATGATCTAATATGCATTCAGGATGTAAACAAGATTAAAAATCAGGAAGAGCAGCAAACAAAGTCTCTCCAGAGGAATGTTAGGGAGCTTGGGATCTTACAAGGAGTGACACACACTGACTCACATTTGGGGAAAGCTGACAGAGTTTATTGCTTTAAGGCTTATCAGATAAATAAAAGGGATAATTCAATACACGCAGATGTGTATATTGGTCTAGTGTGATCCCCTCCAAGCAGAAGATGAGCCTCTTCTGATCAGATGAGTTATCTTTAAAGGGCCAAATTCAAGATAGTATGAAACTTGCCTGATGTGGCATATATTTGAGGCTTATAAAGTGGAAAAAGTTAAAATCAGATGTCATAAAGAAGGCAGATATGTGAAAAAAGACTAGGATAAACACAAGAGGATTCCTTATAGTTCAACCAGTCAAAGGATATTTGTACAAAGCGATAGCTTGTTTTTAAGTGATTTAATTTAATAATGGTGTTTAATTTCTCCTTTAATAAGATGTTTAACTGTCAAATAATGAGCATTTCTGTATGTGATATTTTTAGTCACCACTTTGTAATGCAATTCAGAGATTTGATATTAATTTTTTAAACTTTATTTACCTTAGATCTACTCAATAGTCTATTTCTAATTGGAATTACTTCACTAATTTGTGTCAAATCAGCACACCAACTCTACATAAGTAGACATATAGTCTTTAGAGAGCACCAGAAACCAAATGGCTGTGCCTTAGAATAAATTCCTTAAGGAATATAGACTCATTGGAATGTCACATGAACGAATTTAATATTTAACAATGTGTATAGTAGATGTTCTTTCAGAAGACATTGCATGATTGTCACAGAGAATTAGATTATTAGAGAAGGGATTAAAAACTAAGTTGGCCTTTTATTTATGATGAGCAGAGCTTTTGCTACTTCAGAACTTAATTCTAGCACAGATGTAGAAATATATTAAATTAGATTTCACTTTGTATTAGGAAATCACTTAAGGAGGGGCTTTTTTTTTTTTTTTTGATGACAAGAATCCTACTTGGCACATCATGATATTGTTTTATTAGATTTTTAGAGGGCATGATTATAATGATACCAGGTATTTGCCACTAGTCTTTCTGACCAGGTTTCATTCCATAAATCATTAAAACAGTTGAGGCCATTTCCTGGACAATTCAAGCCAAACGACCCATTTAGCTCTAATCATTGGAACATCTTTGGCAAATGGCCATGTCTAGAGCAGAGAGTGAACAGTGGCAAATATCCCTAATGTGATTGACCCAGCATACCTGCCTTTCTCAACTATCTTGTGTCATTATGTTTTACTCTACTTGCTGGTTGTTAACCTGATAAAGAGGAAACAGGATTAAGGATGGGAGGAGAGCAGATAAGAATTAAGAGGGTTATTTTCAGTATCTTCACTTGTGTTTTTTTTTATTGCCTTCTTTACAGATCAGGGATTTGCTAGTAGATAGAAATTAAATGACTTTTGCACCATTGACAGAACAGAGAACTAGGTGCGAAGTTTATAAACTATCACTTTCAATTCCCTTAGAGAACACTAGAGGCAATATGTTCATTTTAGAAGGATGATCTCCACAGCAGTGTAAACAAATGATATTGATCATTTGCATAAATTACCTCCTGACATAATTCCTGTTTTTCTTGCCAGTGAAATATAAATCTGTTTTATAGTAATCACAGATTAAAGTGGGCATGTCTGAATTTAAAATTTTATCAAACCAAAAAGCATTTTCTCTGTCTTAAAAACTCTTCCACTTACCACACTATGGTGCTGTGTGGATTAAAATGATAATGTTTATGAAGTACTGTGAACTTCATCAAGATAGGGGTAATAGAAGAATAAAGTATCATATTCAATCATCAATATTATCCCCCAAAACATGTGAAGCCCATTCTCTAGCACAATTTTCCCTGTACGTGCAAGTTTCTATTTATTAGTAATGAACAAATAATAATCAAAGGTTTCATGTTTTAAGAATTTGAGTATGAATTCTAAATAATTACAACACTAGATAAGCAGGTGACTGCTACAGCACCCTATTCGTGCCTATGATCAGTTGGAGTTCCGGCATCAGTGTTCAGGCTGTACAGAAAAAACAATAAGACCGGGTCACAATTTCATTCCAACACAGAAAATCCAAAATCCTCTCAATGAACTTCACTGAAAACAACAAAATGGCTTTAAGTATTTTGCTGCTATGCTCAACATTTGAATAAATCTGAGTGCAATCAATGTATTCTTAGATTTATCTTTCAATCATATTCATTGATAGGAGTTTCATTTTATTAAAAGTAAAATTATACAATGGTAAGCCTTTACTGTAGTTTAAAGCTTAATCTTACACTCTGGGGACAATATTGTCACTATAAAGATGGTGTAAATGATATCCCTTAACTGTAAGATCTGCTTATGAGCCCCATGTGCATATTCTACTGTTTTATAGCCTGTAGTGAAACACATGACTAGCTTAACAAGCAAGGCATTTAGAAAGGAGTTTTTCTCCCTTCACAGTTTAAAACATGAGTAAATATTCACACTATTTTCTGTGAGTCTAAATCTTTGTTAATGATTGTGGTTTTCCCACAGAATGGGATTTTCTTCCCTGATGGTATGGTTATTTAAAAATAACATGACTTTTTACATACTTATATCTGCAAGGCAGTGTTATAACTGCAGTGTTGTAAGCTAACGTTACCTCAATTCAAAATAATAAAGTAAAATACATAATTACCAAGAAACATGCTATATTTTTGAAGTTTTAAAATTGTGTTTAAAAATAAATATTTTTTCCCACCCCAGGGCTCATGTTTCCTTCCAGCTGTCTCACCACTTACTCACTTAGATGAACGATAGTATTTCCTTAAGAAGTAATAGCGTTCATAGTAGGCATAATTTGGTTTATCTATCTTTTGCGGGTAGGTAATTTATTTCTGAACTGATGGCTATATTTTATAAATGATTTCTCTTTCTAAGTGTTAAGCTTCGTGTTTTCTCTTAGTGCCAAAAATAAAGTTCCCTTTTAAAAGTTAGGAAAGTGTCATCTATTAAACAACTAGGTAAGATAACATCTGAAGCGTCATATTTTGCTAACCTGAATAAAAGAAAGATAAAAACAATGTGCTGGTTAACGTTTCACTTCAGTTGTAGGTGCAGCCCAAATAAAATATGGAAATAATTGTATAAACTATATTTCAATTTAAACATGTTCAGAATGTAGCATTCTGAACAATTTTAGTGACATTAGTTTAGGGTCCAATTACCTATATAAGTAAGTAGTATGAATGTGCAGTTACTAATTTGAGAGTAGCAAAAGTAACTGATTAAAAGAAAGGAGTAGGGCCCTCCCTGGTGCCTCAGCGGGTTAAAGCACTGCACTGAGAAGCTAAAGCCACTTCCGCATGAGTTCGATTCCCGCCTGCCCCGGAGGTGACCACATGGCGTGGCAGACCTCTCCTGACCGCGTGCTGCTCCCCTCAGCTGTGTACTTCGTCGATCTGCCTGTTCTGTTCCCCGCTCTATCTCTGGTGAAGCCTTTCACCGCCCCTGAGCCTCTGGCCTGTACCCCAGTTCTGTATGCACAAATAAATAAATCTTAAAAAAAAAAAAGAGTAGAGAATAAAATAGTATAGCACTTGAATCCTCTGTCTAGAGAAAGACTTTTTTAAACTTATTTATTCAGAAGAGTCTGGAGAGTATGTTTATAATATGGCACTTTGGCACTTTCATTTTTTTCTCTAAATTTATTCACATATTTTCTTACATTGTTGTGCATTTTTGTATAGTAATTGGTTTCTCCCCACAGGTGTAGTCCCTGTAGTTCTCCCTCCACCAGAGCCCCCGTGAACCATCAGCAGAATCCCTTGTACTCAATGTGGCACTTTTTGTTGAGTGGAGATTTTTTGAAAATAAAAACATTTAGCCTAATTCTAAAAAAAACAAAAAAAAACAACAACAACAAAAAAAAACTGTCGAATTTATATTTTAATTCAAATTAACACCAGTATAGGACATCATTCTTTGGCAAATGATATTATAATGGAATATCAACTTCATTTGCTCACTTTTAATTTACTGTTTTTAATTAAAGATTTGATTTCCCCATTTGCCGTTGTTTCCTATTTACTTCAAAGCCTCATCTTAAATCATGGAATATGGATATCCCTCTATTTCCACTTGGGGATAAAATATAGAAATATATTTATTATAACTATTTACTGAAGACTCTGTACTTTAAGGGAAGTTTTATACATTAATTATGAGCCAAATATTTCACCCTTACCAACCTCTACATATGCAATGCAAATGCCAACTTTATTGTATTTCATCGATCACACCATATATCTTGTCTTTCTCATACTTTTCAGAGTGTATGGACCTAACTTACACATGAGGAAAATTAATACACATTATTGTAAAATTCGGACAGAGAGAGGTTGACTGGTCAACCGAGACCATGACTGCTAGGCCGGTGCTGGTCTCAGTTCCCTGTGCCTCACAAAGATGAGTTATAAAATGACAATAAAAGTGCCTGTGTCCATTACACAAACCTGCAAATTTTGAGCCACAGTAAGAGCTCTAAAAGTACTTGAATTGTATTTTTCAACATGGATGAGGAGGAAAAGGAAAGGAAGGTAAGTAAAAATTTGTTTTATTAAACACTGTGTTGAGCCATATTAAACCAGTCTAAGCATTACTGTCACATGTGAGTTCCACATCCTTTAACTACATCTTAGTGCTGTGCTTTAACTCATTGCACCACCAGGGAGGGCTCTTAACTACTTCTTTTTTTTTAAAGATTTTATTTGTGCAAACAGAACTGGGGTACAGGCCAGAGGTGCAGGGGCGGTGAGAGGATTCACCAGAGACAGAGTGGGGAGCAGAACAGGCAGAGAGACAAAGTACACTGCTGAGGGGAGCAGCGGGCGGGTCAAGAGAGGTCTGCCACACCATGTGGTCACCTCCGGGGCAGGCGGGAATCAAACTCATGCGGAAGTGGCTTTAGCTTCTTAGTGCAGTGCTTTAACCCGCTGCGCCACCAGGGAGGGCCTTAACTACTTCTTAATGGAGATGATGGCCAGGTGAAAATTAGTAGCTGCCCTTTTACTAAGAAATCTTAGGCTACAATACCCAAAGTGTGTCATAAAGATCAAATTTATTTGAATTTTGTGTAGGGGGCATATTGGAAACATTTATTTTCTTTTTTATATTTAAAAAATTTTTTTACATCATTCTTCATTTTGTGCATTTTTTCATCTCAGTTGTAATCCCTATGGGCTTCCCACCACCAATTCACCCATGTGCCACCATCACTACAGTCCATTTAATATGGTGTGTAAAAGCATAATTAATTTCTTCTTTCTATATATGACTATTAATTTCTTTTGTGTTAAATTGATAGAAAACACAGTAATCCTTCATTTCAAATGAATAACAATATGAAATCAAAATACAATGGAAAAGGAAAATGGAAGTAATGGAAAAAGATTAATTGTTCCCTTGAAGAATGTTAAGAATGATGTCCATTATTTCCCACAGAAGGATGAAGTGCAGTTTCACGGTGCTTGTAAATTTTGAATTGCATGTTTTTGCCTTATTCATTTTGTGTTGTTACTCACCAATTAGTATTCATTAGTATTACTGGCATTCATTAGTATTATTTTATAGGAAATATGATATTGTGGAAGAATTAGTAAATAAAATATAAATATAAAAATGATTTCTTCAAAATAAAAAATTTGTGGAGATATGCAATCAAACATTTGCACCATTGATGTAAAATAGATTTGAGCATAAGCATGTGATTCACTACCAATCTTAATGTTTAGACATTAAACAAGAAAATCACTTAGGATGTAGTTAACAGATTGGGGGACTCCAGGCAAGTCTATAAAAAAGTCTAAAAAAAAATGTTCTTTAAATTCACTCCAATTTCCAAAATTGAATGTTGCAGGGGTATCATAAATGAGGAAGAAATTCCCTCCTGTAAACAAATAAAATTTTATGTTAATGTGCCATATTAAGGAATACTGGCCTAAAAATATATTACTGAGGATATGTTAAGGTCTAGATCAAATAGAGTTATGTGAGATTAACCACAAATGGAAGTTTTATTCAATTATTATTCCAGATTATTCACAGCTCTAAGTAGAAGTTTTAAATAGAAAAGGAAGATGGATGGTATTTGGGTAAGTTTTATAAGTATTACCCCAATCTCTGTAATATTTTAAGGGAGAAGTGATTATCAAATTATAGCTGTTTTATTGGAACAACCATGTAAACCAATACTAACTCAATAATATATTTTTTTGAAAAAAGTATAGCTGGTTTTAGACTGCATTGCTTATATACAAACTGGAGAAGCTTCCCCCCATCCCTTTTCTGTTGCATTGTTTTTCATAGGATAATTAAATAGTCTAGTTAAATTGACTAGCTAGCTAATTAACTATCAGAGATTTTTACAAGTATCAACTGACAGTGGGAAAAATGGGTGAGAAAGTTAGGATTCTGGTGCTTTTTTTTTTAATGGAATACTATTGAGTAATGAAAAAGATAAACTAACGCCATTCACGGCAACATGTATATAGCTGGAAGGGATTATGCTCATTGAAATAGGCTGGAAAGAAAAAAGAAAAACAGTAGATGGGGGCCCTCTTTGGTGGCGCAGCGAGTTACAGCACAGCACTAAGAAGCTAAAGACACCTCACCATGAGTTCACTTGCCCCAGAGGTGATCCACATGGTGCGGCAGACCTCTTCTGCCTGCCGGCTGTTCCCTTCAGCAGTGTACTTAGTTGATCTGCCTGTTCTTCTCCCCACTCTGTCTCTGGTGAGTCCTCTCACCGCACCTGCACCTCTGGCCTGACCCCAGTTCTGTATGCATAAATAAATACATTTTCTTTTTTTGAAGATTTACTTATTCATACAGAACTAGGGTGCAGGCCAGAGGTGCAAGGGGTGAGAGTGTTAAGGGGAAGGATGTCCTAAAGGAACTCTGCAGTCTTATGGACTCCACCCCCTACTCCTGCTTTCTGGACCCTACACCCTGTTCCAGTGATTTGAAACTACAACTCCCAGCAGTACCAG